TAGTGATAGAAATAATGGAAAAATGTGGGTATTTAAACAAACTGGTTCCTGGATCCTATATAATGGCAGATAGGGGTTTCAGAATAATCAGCTACTTGAAAACATGGGATGCACTTTAGTAAAGCCATACCTAGTGTATCACAGAATGAAAAAACTTCTCCAGAAGATGTACAATTAAGTAAAAGAATAGCATCTCTAAGAATACATGTGGAAAGAGTTATAAGAAGGGTTAGTTAATTTAACATGTTAAAACCACATTCGTGTGTGAATTTTAAGCAAGTACATTTACTTAGTAATATCTGCATAATTGCTTGTTAACTTACAAGAACCTATTTTGTAAGAGTAAATATTAATTTAATAAACTTTTTTGTTTGTTTTTTAATTTAATTTACCTAATTATCACATTTCAGGGATTATAATGAGTTTTTAAACAGCCAATGTAATTTTTTATAAAATTTTAACTTTTCGAGCAAATCAAAGAGGAATGAGTACCTGTATATGCATAGATTTTTTTGGGACTAAAACTACCAAAACAAAGGCACATATTTACAGCAGTTTAAAATGAAACATTTTAACAAAAACGCCTATGTCACAGTGATAAATATTAAAAACAACCAAGTTCAGTTGAATGTGGTAGCAAAGTCTATATATTCCAATAAATCGGGTAACTACATGTGGTATCACTGGTGATAAATTTAAAAATATCACAATTCTTGCCACCTTTTTCAAAAAACCAGAAAGTGTGCCTTCTTATCAATCCTTTATGAAAATGACAACAGTGATAAATGTGAAAAAAAAAATTTAATGTTGCTATTCGTTATTACGAAGTAAAACATGTTTGCAGTTCCGTTTATTTTTTATGAAAATCTAAGTAAAAACAACCAATGTCAAAGGGTTTTAATTTTTTTTCTGTCAAACCAAATATATCACAAAATTAAAAATTGATCATAGGTCAAGCTAAAGTAATACCTTTATTAATAGTAGCTTTAAAAAAGGAGAAAGAATAATATTGACTTAAGTTATTATTATTATTAACATTGGTGATTTTTAATAAAAACTCTTCAATTATTGTTTACAAACAAAAATATAAAAATCTGTGAAAATTTTATTTATTAACCTTTTATAAAAAATGAGAAAAATGAAGTATAAAAACAATTTATTTACAAATAAAAAATACATACAAATCCTGAGAATATAAAAGTACTGATTTATTTTCCTGTAGTGGATGAAGAGGTTTCTTTAACAATCTAGCCAAGTGTACATCATTATCAATAACACTGAGTAGATGTTACAGATGGTTCCTCACTTCTTCTATGAAGCCACATGTTTACAACCTCCTGAAAAAAATAAAAAGGTTAGATATGCAGTTACAAAATAACTATATAACCAGCTACAAAATGCCTTATTTTATGTAACAAGACGAGCACTTTACTAGCTCTGAACGAATCCAGTAAAGAACCTCGGATTTTCAAAACTTAAAAAAACAATCACCACATATTCACATTTTTGAAATATTATAGAGCTTTTCGAAAAAAACTGCTATTTTTAAAAGTACCATTTTTGTTTAAACAGCTGTCTCATTTTAGGCTATTGAGTATTATGAAATAAAAAATTACGGGATGCTTTGTTAGCTTCAAACGAATCCAGCAGAGCACCCCAGTTTTTTTTTAAACCACATCACGTTTTTTGGCTCCTACAATATTATAAAATATTCGAAATTTGGCATTTTTAAAAAATTCGCAATTCCTTGCTGACATCAAAGTTTTTCTGAAAACAAATATACTTACCACATTTTTAGGATTTTAAAACAGCCTAAACATGTGTCATAAGTAGTTGTTTTTATATATTAAAAAACTGAAGTGTCCTGCTGACTTTGTTCCAACAAAGCACCCTGTATTATTTAAAAATAGCAATTGTTTTAGTAAAGTTTTACAATATTTCAAGAGTCTAAAAATGGGGTGTGGTTTTTAGAAAAAAGCTTTAAAAAACCGAATTGCTCTGCTGGCTTCTTTCGAAGGTTAGCAAGCACCATGTATTTTTTAAAAATATAATATTTCAAGTGCATAAATATATGGTGTTGCTGTTTTTACAGAAAAAACTTTATAAAACAGAGGTGCTTTGCTGACTTCGTTCGAAGCTATCAGAGCATTTTAAGTTTTGCACAAAACGAGGAGCATAAAATTTTTGAAAAGGGTATAAAAATAGCCTAAAAATATGGCATGTTTTAACTCAAAATTTCATAGGTGCTCTGCAGCACTTTGGTATCATAATTATTACTAGGTTCACTAACAAAATCTATTTCTATATTATTTTAACACTTGCTGCGATTACAAAAAATGTCTCTTTATGTCAAAATTAGAAAAAAAATATTTATAGGAATAAAGGGCCTTATACACTGTTTATTATATGTGATATAAAAACAAAAAAGCATAATAAATATTACAAACCTTGAGATTCAACATATCCTAAGCATTTTGCACTAAAAATTTCATTTTTGTTAAATACAACAGCCACATCATAAGGTTTTTGCTGTACTTTATGTTTAGGTGTAATTTGTCTCCTTCTCTCTTATGGAAAAAGTAAATATCTCCATATTCTTGCTTGGCAGATCTAAAAATAAAACCTGAGATAAATATGTTTTACTATAAAGTGTATTGCTTCATATAAACTGTAACTACCTACCATTAAAACAATTTATAAATAAAGTTTTACCTTTCTATCTTTTGTAAACTGAGTATTGTTAAAAAATGCAGTAATCATCTCGGTAATCATATTTTCGTTTACAATGGGAAAAATACTTGATTCAACTTTTATAAATACAGCTGATAAATTCATATTCTTCTTCCTTTATATATCCTATATCCCACAGGATAATTTACCCAGATAAATTCAGATTAATAATAAAATTAAACCAAAACAAAAAACTAAGGTTAGGTGCTGTCAATTTTTAATGTCACTTAGATGTGCGTTCACTTCGACATTCTGTATGTAGGTTTGTTCGTTGGCTTGGTTTTGTATAACAAAAAAAACTTCGACACAAGCTGATTGGTCTATTCCCGATGACGTATAATTTCAAATTTTAAATTTCAATTGGGCTTAATTTAAAAACTTTTAGCTTTTTTAACGAACTGATTATTTAGAATAACTTGTATAGCGACTAACTATTACAATATAGTTTATAAAACAGCATATCTCACATGTGAACATGGCCCATTCATCAAAGCGTTTTCCATTTTTTTTTTGAAGCAATGCGGATGCGTCGTGAGAATAAATAAATAAATTTTCGTACAAGACCGTCTTACAAATTTTCGATCAGCCCACGTGTCCTGACGCGAGTTTCGCAGTTTTTACCCATCCCACAAAAGTGCTCAACGCCGCTAAATAGGTTTTCACTTCAAAAATAACTTACATATTTTATATTTTTCTTAATGCCTATTATAATTCCAATTTATTCCAATTTATTCCAATTTATTCCAATTTATTCCAATTTATTCCAATTTATTCCAATTTATTCCAATTTATTCCAATTTATTCCAATTTATTCCAATTTATTCCAATTTATTCCAATTTATTCCAATTTATTCCAATTTATTCCAATTTATTCCAATTTATTCCAATTTATTCCAATTTATTCCAATTTATTCCAATTTATTCCAATTTATTCCAATTTATTCCAATTTATTCCAATTTATTCCAATTTATTCCAATTTATTCCAATTTATTCCAATTTATTCCAATTTATTCCAATTTATTCCAATTTATTCCAATTTATTCCAATTTATTCCAATTTATTCCAATTTATTCCAATTTATTCCAATTTATTCCAATTTATTCCAATTTATTCCAATTTATTCCAATTTATTCCAATTTATTCCAATTTATTCCAATTTATTCCAATTTATTCCAATTTATTCCAATTTATTCCAATTTATTCCAATTTATTCCAATTTATTCCAATTTATTCCAATTTATTCCAATTTATTCCAATTTATTCCAATTTATTCCAATTTATTCCAATTTATTCCAATTTATTCCAATTTATTCCAATTTATTCCAATTTATTCCAATTTATTCCAATTTATTCCAATTTATTCCAATTTATTCCAATTTATTCCAATTTATTCCAATTTATTCCAATTTATTCCAATTTATTCCAATTTATTCCAATTTATTCCAATTTATTCCAATTTATTCCAATTTATTCCAATTTATTCCAATTTATTCCAATTTATTCCAATTTATTCCAATTTATTCCAATTTATTCCAATTTATTCCAATTTATTCCAATTTATTCCAATTTATTCCAATTTATTCCAATTTATTCCAATTTATTCCAATTTATTCCAATTTATTCCAATTTATTCCAATTTATTCCAATTTATTCCAATTTATTCCAATTTATTCCAATTTATTCCAATTTATTCCAATTTATTCCAATTTATTCCAATTTATTCCAATTTATTCCAATTTATTCCAATTTATTCCAATTTATTCCAATTTATTCCAATTTATTATAGTTTATTCCAGTTTATTTCAATTTATTCCAATTTAAAAAATATCGACAATCGAAAGAAAAAAATCAATTGTTCGATTAATCGATCTCGATGTTACAACACTACTCTCCAACTGTCTTACGAATTTTCGATCAGCCCACGTGTCCTGACGCGAGTTTCACAGTTTTTACTCATCCCACAAAAGTGCTCAACGCCGCTAAAGAAGTTTTCACTTCAAAAATTTTTATAAAATTTTTGCTTGTGTTGACAAGGTAACAGAGTAAACACCATATTTTTTGCTTTTGAATTAACAAAGATATAACAATAAACAATGAGAGATGTCATAGGTTTATGCTGTAATTAATTCTCACCGTCAATTTTATCGACTCTCAGTGTATCTTTCTCTTCACCTTCAAACGTAGCATAGCTCTGTTTCTCTCTACGTGCCGGCTGATGTATCACATTATTGATGTGGTAGGATTTTTCATTTTTTTTTATTATAAAACTTCTCGTTATGTTCCATTGGGCAATGTGTCATATTGTTATCTGTTTTTACTAAAGAATTAATAAGTGTATGTGTTATATATTAAATTACCTAATAAATTGGGAAAAAATATAGACTTTTTGCATCTTTAATATATCTACATTCATCCTGTTGCAGCTGAATATATTTGGGTAAGTTATACGAGTATTACGGATTTGTTGTTGCAAGTAGCAAAGACAAAAATTATATCAAAATAGGAAAGCCCAAAAGTTGCATATCATTTAAAGAATATGCTCATATATTTGTAAACAATATTTTTAGAAATAAATTAAATGCTCAAATGATAGATGTGGTATTTGATCATTATAAAGGACATTCTATCAAAAATACAACACGTCAAAAGAGAGGATTTCAGAAATCAATTGATATAGAAATTGACCGACCCAATTTTCCACTTCCGCAACAATATAACTTGTTTATTCATTCGATATTTAACAAAAGACGTTTAACAAATTTTCTTCCAGAGCAACTTCTTCAAAACTCCATTCAGCAAAAGCATATTCTATTTCTAACTAAATTTCTAACTAGTGGTGGATTCGCGAAAATCAATAAATATGGGAAAAATTTTGAACCATCAAAAGACCATTTTTTAAATTCAAATGACGAAGACGCTGATATTCGTATCTTATTGCACATATTGTCAGCAAAAAATTCGGGGCATTCACGCTGCATTATTTATTGAAACGATACAGATATCTTATTAATTTATTTTAAGAAGTTTTTGACTAAAGATATATAGTTCAGAACAGGGCGAGGAGACTGAAGACGATTTCTAGCAGTACATTATTTAAATTTGGATGAAAACCTTCTAAAAAATATGCCTGCTTTTCATTCTATGACCGGTTGTGATACAACCAGCCAATTGTCCGAAATTGGGAAAAGAACCTGTTGGAAAACCACTGATCAGTACTCTGAAAACATATTCTCTAATCTTGAAAGAATTTTCTTAAAAATTTATTCAAAACTGCCAATGTTACTTCCATTAACATTTTGAGGGGATTATTGGCCTCTTCAAAAATCATCGCTAAGTTGCCACCGACTGAAGACGCCCTAAGACTACATTGTTTAAGATGTTTTTGCCAGCTGAATATTTGGCTAAGCTCTTTAAACCCAGATGCAGCTTCCTAATGTTGAAGAGTATGGATAGGAAGTAGATCAAGATGGAAGTCTGATACCCACTTTTAAGACTCTGCCCGACCTGCCACCAGACATAACAGAACTTACATCATGCAAATGCAAAAAAGATACTATACAATAATCTAACAATACTATTCTGTTCTAGACTGTGGAAGCAAAATTTGCAAATGCAGGAAAAAAAATATTTGCTGTATCGGCCCACGTCTAGAAATAGAATGTATTCAGTGCGAACTATTGTTGGCACCGTGAATATTATATTTTATCAATGACTGCTTATATCTCTGTTATCTCTGCTGTTAACTCTATTACCTTTGTTAGAAAATTGATTTCTCACCAGTATCACTTTTTTAGGCTCAACATACTATATTATATCTTATTTAATATTTCTTTTTTTTTTAAGGAAGAAGCAGGTAATTTGGATTACTAGCTTCTGGGTTTAGAAAGAAAATCACCAAAGAAGCAAGAGGATGATGAATGACTTGTGTATTTCATGTTGTGGAAATGACATTGAAGTGTATTAAATTGCCTACATTTCAATAAAGTTTCTGTATAATTTATTTTATTACTTATTATGGCAGAAATAAATTTTTTGCCAGATATTGTATTTGCGATATCCCATAAAGTGGTCCTCACTAAAATAATATCTCCAATAACTCCCGTTAGTAAGTCAACTGAACGCAAGTAGTTTTCATCAGTGTTTTATTTTTCTTTGATAATATTTATTTTAAGGTAATCAATACAATTCACATTGAAGGCAGCAAGGGTTAGCCGATTAATTTCGTGAGGTGAAGGCAAGTTGGAATACAAAAAATTACGAACAGGGTTTGTTTAAACCCCGTTCGTATTTTTTTGTACAGCTTTAAAAACCCTCCATCATCAAAGACTCTATAAGAGAAAAACGGAGCTGTCACAATACAATAAACTCTATCATTACTAAAACATAGAATAAAAAACTTTTACTCGTTAAAAAGCTTTAGTAGAAACATCAAGAAACTAAACTAAATTAATAAGGGACAGCAACTGACCAGTCCCAAGTCTCCACCATACCATGCAGCTTAAATAATTTAAAATCCAAACCGAAATTCGGTAGCTGATCCACTGCAAAATGTGAGGCCAGCTGGTTAGTTTTTAGCAAAGAAAGTGGAGATTTATCCGTCTATGCAGAACTAAACCATGCTGATACGGAGAACGAGAAACTGCTAATCTTCCACTTGAAGGCAGCAAGAGTTAGCCAATTAATATCGCGAGGCGAAGGCAAGTTGGAATACAAAAAAATTACGAACAGGATTTTTTAAACCAGCAATGTGCCAAAACAGTAAAAATGACAATTGACATTTGACAATGAAGTTGTCAAGAAAAACGCAAACTCCGCTACAAAGAAGAGTAAAGGCAAAGCTGACTAGGTAACTTCAGACCAACTGTTGCCCTAATACTCTTAAAGAAAGGAGATGGATTTGAGTGTTAACATATGTGACATTTGGTTTATTAAACTTTCTGTGTATCTCAAGGTCTTCAAGAAAATTTAGTTTAAAGTTGCAGTTTAAAATATTATGAAGAACTGTAACATTCTCAAAGGGAATGAAGTTATGATTGTTGAATTTAATATGATGTCCAAAAGTTGACTTATCTGGATATCTAATGTGTTCACCAGCTCGTATGTTGAGTCTCCTTTCAGTTTTTCCTATATCAACTTAGTCTATAGATACCACTTTTGTGTAGCAACTCAATTTCATCCTTATCTAAGAAAAATCCAAAGAAATAAAGAGAATCACGCCAAAATTCACTTTTCTCCATATTAATTGTAAGATTAGCAACTTTTAATCTATTAAACAATTTTTTCAAAGTGTCAATATGAAGTTCAAAAGGAGTTGCTACTATAATGTCATCTAAATAACAGAAACAGTAAGGAAGAATAGAGGGATCTATGACTATGTCCATTAAACGAGCCATTGTACGAGGACCATTTTTTAAGTCAAATATCATTCTTGTGAATTCAAATGATCTAACACCTAAAACTAAAACAGCAGTTTTAGGTTTTGAGGTATCAGTTAGGAAAATCTGTAGAAAAGCCTTTCGAAGATCAATGGAGGTAAGAAATTTAGCATAGTATGTGGTATTTTTATTAGTGGTGACAACCATCAGTATTTTATGGTGAGTAAAAGATTAATATTTACCAGATTTCTGCAAAGATTAACGAAATGGATCGGGATTTATTTAGTTGTTAAAAATGTGAGGTTAGATGTTTTAGAACGTGTCATTAATTTCTGTAAAGATCTATTTTTTATTCATTCTATGTTCAGAAACATCTTATCTCCTTATTCCTTATTTTTCCTTATTACGTAAACTTCAAAAAGGTCTCAATCTTTTAGGTAAGTCAACCTTTGGATGGTTTAAACATACGCTGAGAAGATAGTTGAAGTTATGTTAATTTATGGTTAGAAGATATAGTTATGGTAACAAACATGTTAATTTATGGTTAGAAGATAAATAAAGTTATGGTAACAAACATGTTAATTTATGGTTAGAAGATAAATAAAGTTATGGTAACAAACATGTTAATTTATGGTTAGAAGAAAACGCATCGTTGTAGGAGACCGTCCTTATTTGATCGACCCTTAAAGAAAGATTGAAGACCTAACACCATTCCTACTCTGAGACAAGTTTCATTTTTTATCATTGAAAATTAAATAAAGAAGTAATTTAAATGAATTATGGCTTGTGTAGATCGTAATTGTTACTTACCTGCATAAACATATACGTTCTTGTTTTAACATCAGTCATATTAATTATATTTGCCAAACTATTATAATTCACCTTAAATGATATGTTTATGTAAGTTTGGTGGCGCTTTCCTTCCCTTTCCTATAGTTAAGTTTTGTCAAGGTTATTAAGTGCTACTCACAGTCCTAAATAAAATTGAGCTAAAACACGGTAAGTAAAACCAACATCACATGCTACAATATTGAGTCCACTAAATGCATAGGATAACTATCAAAAACAGTGTGTTGATTCAAACGTCTACTATCTAAACATAATCTTTTTTCAGTACTAGTTTTCTTATCAACTATCCAAAGTGAATTGGACCAAGGAGAAACAGAAGGTTGTATGATACCTACGAGGATGTATCAGAAAATAACGAGACTGGTGCTATAGTATAACAACGAAACATTTATTTAAAAAAATTCAACAACTATCCTTCGAAGTACTCTCCATTCTGTTGAATACACTTATCTTATCGCTTTATCCACTTATCATAAACTTCTGAGAAACCATTTTTTGATAGTCTGTTTAGTATACCCATCACAGCGTTGTTGAGCTCTAAATCCGACTCAAACCTTCTTCCTCTCAATTCTTTTTTGACTTCAGGAAACAAATGGAAGTCACATGGAGCAAGATTAGGAGAGTAGGGGGGATCAACCATAATTTCAACCCCTAATTCTTCAATTGTTCGTTGACAAATCATTGATCTATGAGCCGGAGCATTGTCGTGATGCAGCGTCCAGCCAAAGTCCTGATAAAGCGGCCTTTTTTTCTTTAATTTTGCCTTTAAGGATCCTCGAAGTACATTAGAATAGTACTCCCCTGTTACTGTATGTCCTCTAGGTACAATGTGATCGTAAATAACGCCAAATTTATCAAAAAAAATCAGGTGAATCACTTTACCAGCGCTTTTAGCAGTTTTGGCCTTCTGCGGTCTTGGGCTGCCTTTATGCTTCCATTGCATACTTTGAGACTTCAATTCAGGATCGTAATGATAAAACCAACTTTCGTCACATGTAACCACATTATTTAAAAACTGTGGGTTACGTTGCAATTGCCTTTTCCACTGCTGACAAATTGTCACTCGATTCGCTTTTTGTTCATCGGTCATCACTTTTGGAATCCATCTTGCCGCGATCTTCCGGTACTCTAAATCTTCATGAATAATTTTTTGAGTGGTACCGTAAGACAAATTAACATTGTCAGAAATTCGTTTTATGCCAATCCAGCGATCATTTTGTATCAAGTCGTTAATTTCTGCAATTTTTGTGTCATTTCTCGCAGTTTGTGGTCGACCGGGACGAGGTTCATCTTCAACTGATTCACAACCGTCTTTAAACTTTTTATGCCACTCAAAACTCTACATCGTGATAAACTATTATCTAGATATGCACCTTTAATCATTTCAAAAGTTTCAGTTAGTGTTTTACCCAATCGAACACAAAATTTTATCGCGTATCTTTGCTCCACTTTCATTTTTCGATGGGTACGCAAAACACTGACAATTCAATAATTAATTTGTAACAAATGTCAAAAGTTAAATCAAAGCCTACTTGCGGGGTAGTACATTAAATATAAGGCTTTCATGTCTCATTTTTTGGGTTATAAAATGTTACCTCTGAAAGAAGTTATAGCACCAGTCTCGTTTTATACTGATATATCCTCGTAATTGTAGTAAATCATTAAGTTCTTTTTTTTACATCGACCGTGGCAGGTGAAAGTGGGTACCGTCTAGAAAAAATGGTTTTATATCCCCAGTATCAATATCATGTTTAATTAAATGTGTACATCCTAGGGAATCTTTTGGAGCTATAGTAGATCTATCACTCCATTAAGTTCAGATTTTTGTTCAAAAGACAGATTTGACATTGTTTGTATAGAATTTACAGCACATAATGATGATAATAAACAATATGAAAACTCACCACATCTAATATCAATATTAAATAAATTTAAAAAGTCTCTTCCCAAAATTAAATTATGTTTTATTGTAGGTATAAGTAAAATTTTCAAAGTTTTTGTAGTATTATCAACATTGACAGGTACATTTATTAAACCTAATACATTCTGTGAAACTCCATCAGTAGTAGTGACACTTAAGTCATCATCATATAAAATAGGTGTATTTATTTTATGGATAATATTAAAAGCTTGTTGACCTAAAATTGTTGAATTAGAACCCGTATCTACTAAAGCTAATATTTCAATATTGTTTATTTTAACCTTTAAATGTGGCCTTTTATGATTTAGTTTCTTAAAAAATAAGGGACTTGAGTTATTGTTTAGAGAAACACCCTGTATGTTTGACCCATCCTCTACTAATAATAATATAATAATAATAATACTC